TTTCGCAGAGGGTCTAGCTTGTGCTGAACATAATCCTCCATGAACTAATGACAGCGTTGCGTGGGAAGTGCAAAGTCAACCTACTTGACGCCATTTATTTAATTTATTTTCAAGATTATATTTACTTGAAAAAAGTTCCGTGATTTATCAGTATATTCGGCGCCACTCTTGTAATAATTCCACCTGACTTCGTGCACCCCATTATCTTAAATAGACTGATTTATGCGTTCTTCATTTAAACTAATCCAGTACCAACATCACGTTGTTTTTTATACAGCTCTAGCCTACAGGATGAGATTAATCGTGTTTTATTATGCTTCCCTACTTTTGTAATCTATTTTTATATTCCAGGTACTGGAAATAAACACAATAAATTTGATACAATATCTTTAGAAACCGTCGTATCGGCTTAAAGTTGTCTTGTAAAAAATAGAATTCAAATATAGTGGCTATAATTTAATCCAAAAATTTAGAGCTTCACATGTCTAGCCATAGAACGATAGCAAATTGCTACTTCATCATCATGATAGCTGATGGACACATTATCATGCCACGTATTGAAAGTCTAACAATTCACAAGCAAAAACACCACCAAATTCACCATAGTTGTACAGATTTCTTTGCATTTCTACCGGTGGAGAGTTTAAACCAATATTAACTCTGCAATATATTCGCTCTTATTGGTACATTTATATTCATTTTTGATAAAAGGTAGAAGCAGTCGATTTGATTGTTTGAAGAAAACATAAATCAGACAATACTTTTCTCTTAGCCAGAGGTATGATTTTGAAATGTTTCATTACCAAGCTATAATTGTGATTATGGACAATGATACTTGCCTTATAAGCCAGAATTTGCAAGAACTTATGTTGGAAAGATTCAATTCCCTTATGTGGACTTCGCAGTGTGGATTCCAAATAATAGACGCGAAAGAGAGATAACTATGTACCTGTATGTATGTATGAGCGCATAACATCGTGATAACAGGGTAGCAAGGTTGTATCTAGAGTGTCTTCTATTAAGACCAAGCATCTTATTCGTTTTATTTATGGTTTCATCTCTATCGTTATTAAAGCTCCATCGTATCTATATAGTATAACACCCAGGTCACGAATATTGCTTACAGAAATAATATTGACATTCTCTATCTGATACGCATACTGGAATAGGTTTTGTGAAGTTGATTGAACATACCTTTTTAGTGTCGATATCAGATTCTATTTTGACGCAATGCTTTCAACTATACGATACATCTTTAAATCATTTGCATAAAGAAGAAATTGGAAATGGCTGAAACATTGTGTGATATCATTTATATCAATTAAGAAGAATAGTGGACCTAGGTGGCTACCCTGAGGACTACCGATGACGATAACGACTGTGGACTTAGAACCGTTTATACACAGTAAGAAGCTACGAACACTAACCCCAGCAAGTTTTGTTAATAGTAAATTATGATTAACTCAATCAAAAGCCGTGCCGAAGTCGGTATAAATGGCACCGACTTGGACATTTCTGTCCGAAGATTTGAAACGAAGTCAGAAAAGCAAAGCAAATTGGCACCTTTTCGGAAAAAATCCATGCTGTTGCTGAATGATTATGTTTTTTACAACAAAAAGTATTTCGTTGTAAATTAGCTTTTCGAACATCTTCGAGAATATGCACAGCTTGCTAATAGCCCTTTAATTGTCTGCCACTCTCCACTTTTAAAAATAGGTGTAAAGGGGGATTTCTTCAAAGCATTGGGAAATATATTATATTCTGAAGAGGTGTTGTAAATTAAGTTTGTATACATTTATTTTACTTTTTTTGATGAATATTGGTGGTATATTTTTCAATTCCAGCAGATTTGATATCTAAACTCAATATTTTCGGGTACTTTTTAAACCTCGGCAAACAAATCACAGATTCCGATTAGCTCATTAGAATTTTTGTTATTGTGTCTTATTTCCCGGTGGATTATTATGTCTGAATTTGAACTATTTGCTAGAATCCTCAAAAATTCTTTGAATCAACTTGAATCTCATTTTCTACATTTGCTACGTCATTTTGAAAGTCTTTGGCTATCAACTGCCTAGCTTTTTTCCTCAAGGCTGAGTATTCAGCATAAGCTCCAAAGCAATTATACAATTTGAATTTCTTGTGATATGTTTTCTTCCTCTCTATAGTTCTGATACTTTCTTGCTTAAAGTGAATGAGTCAGTTATGTGTGCACGAGATGGAAGTGTCAATATGTTGCACAAGTTCCTTGAGTTAAGAGAAGAAAGATTTTTTTTTGATTGAGCGTACACATTTTTGAATTGTGTATTGTGTCCAATCTGATTCGGATCGATTCCGGAACGGTCCTAACGGCGCTTTATTTTAGACCGAAATGAAAGGTCAGGATCGCCACAAATTCTGCAACATTGCATCATTGGTTCGCTTGGCAACACCGCATCTCGTAGATGATGAGCGATTTTGGTTAGTCGCATCAAAATTGAAATAAATAATTCTAATCAGAACGAAAACAAAATATGCTCGAACGGACCTCCATCTTGGGTTTGAAACTAACCTAACCTATTGTAGAAGTCTGTGCGAACATTTTCTGATGTAATATATTGGCAACGCGGGATTGCACAACCTTCTGTGTCTTTGTTGCTAGGCAATGTGGTGATGACCTTCGCTTCTATCTCTTTCTAACCTGTGTTTATACACACTTCTCGCGCTTCTCTCTCGTACACATTAAACTCAAGCCGTCAGACAAATATCGTTTTCCCTATATAATTAGCTTTTTGAAAGGATGGTGGTAATTTTCTGGAACCAAAGCATTCAAGCAGTGGATAGTAGACCGAGTTTTTTATACAATTAAAACAAACGCATGTTTCATTAACGTGTAGTAACCTGATGTTGCCACCAAAACGAAATTGCAAAAAACTACCCGGCATTAGACATGAGTTAACTATGCGCACAGAAAAATAATTGGTTAAAAGACTAAAAAATCGAAATCTGAGTAGGTATGTTCACCTAACTACAATGTATCATAAAACTCTACAGTTCTACATTTCGGACTATGATAAATAATTTTTTTGTTTCAATGGAAAATGGATAATGGACTCACTACTAGCGCTTCTGCAAATCACTTAATGTCTTAATCATCACAATTTTTTTCATAATGAAAATTTCCAAAATAGTGAAGGAATGTAACAGCTTCGTTATATCCCATCATCAGAGAAACGGTGTGATATATTTATGATGAGCTACTACTTAACGTGGTGTCAACCCAACACGTATCTGAATAGCTAACATCCTGTACACACAAATTTCTTCAGAACACACAAACGGAACTTTTGATAGGAACCAACTGCTTACATTTGAATATTTTAAAAGCCATAAAGTCAAGATTAAGCGGTTATCAGTTGCAGTGCCTAATGACACAGCCGTTTCGTACGGGCTAGCTGTACATTCGTTGATTGGTGATATTTGATCGCTAGGTTTGGATTGGAAAATGTTTGACTTGTATGCCAACATTTCGGTCATTTAGATATTACAGTAGTAATGGTGTGGTCCCGTAATCATTGATAATAACAACTAGTAGGTATAAGTCACCATATAAAAAGCTTTGGAAATTACAAGTCGTGATAAAGTTTCGCCATATGATGATATATATCCTTAGGATGGTCTGACATGTTTTTGACTGGGGCCACGGTAGATCTGCTATAAATATTTTTTTTTGCTATAAATATAAAATGGCTTTTTTTTAGAAAAAAAACGTTATATCAACCTGGATCTCCTGTAATTACTTGAAAACTATAAGCGCTAGCGTAAGTATCCTCCAGATGAGAAATGATCTCTATACAATTATCTACAATTTTGTATACTATAACGGTTTTGAGTAACAAGTCAATGGTTTAACATATGGATGACTCACAATATTTTTTTTGTAAAATGTCTGTGATTTCTACTATTATGGCTATGTGTCTCTACGTTTTTTGATTATTTTTTTATATACACATAGTTAGCTTGACTTGCTACATTGTTATTTACAGTTTGAAGCCAACAAAAATCTATTCTATTCAATTCTATGAAGACCTTCATCCACCTCTCCTTTGCAACATACTACTTCGCCATTGATTATTATCAGTGTTGGCTACCCCAAATTACTCTTCAGTCAACTCATAATATAAATTCTCTGCAGAACCTACAACATTATTTTGTTTGAAATTTAATTTAAGCGTTGTAGTATTTCTCTAAGTTTTCCATTGCTCTTTATCAGAGTGTCATTGACAGGTAGGAACCAGTTTGCAATGCTGAAGTCAGAACTAATATCTTGCACATTTATAGAAGCAACTGGTGGTACACAGTTGCGGACAAAAACCATTATGAATATGCAAGGTCGGAGATAATTTTATACTTAGGTTATTTTCAACCCGTGCATATTTAAACTACTCATAGCTTATAGTTTTCGTGTAATCGCAGAAAATACAAGTTTATGTCACACTTTTCAATAATAACGGCTGTCATTTTGTTTTTAGCAGATCCATCGTGGCCTCATTCAAACTTATTTCAGACCATCCTAAGAGATATCAACATAATATCAACGTATGATCAAACTTTATCACAGCATGTAACTCACACTCTAGTAATTCATACCTACGGCAGGCATTGTATCTGTCATAAAGGAAAAGCTTATAGTCTCAGTAAAAATCTGAAACCACTGGAATTATTACAAATATCTATTATTTTAGTTTCCATGTCAGCAGATACGAAATTTTACATTCTGTGTCTAGAGGCTCTGATTTCGTATAAGGACCTGCGCCGTGAAGCGGTTCAAACTGCAAAGTGTTTTTGAAAATTCCCCTAAACGGTACCCCTTTAATCTGGTAAAGTTTCTCAATTTAATGTTTTTATTTTCTTCTTGAGCTAACTCAGTTTTGGATACGATCACATATCGTAGTAATTACAACTATGTTTAAACCAACTCTATCTTGCCTTTGGATCAATTATAAATTCACTGTACTTACCAACAGCAGCGTCAAACACGCCATACCCTCCACCGCCCGATCCCGTCCCTCCGCCGGTGTTTTGCCACGCCCACGAACACAGGTCGCAAGTGGTCGGTCCGTCGGGCGTCGCTGATTCGTCGATGAAGGTGGGTCGTGGAGGGGGCGGTACAAAACCTCCTGCAAACAGTCCGCCCTCGCTAGCGTCCAGCGGTAGTGGGGAATCGAATGGGCGGGGCCAAATCAAAGGGGCGGGGTCACCTGGCGGGGCGGAAGTTGTGTTTGATGGAAGCCCGGGGAGTGGCGTTGCGAGAACCTGCAAAAAAGCTCCATGTAAGGACGTCCTAATAGGTATTTCGGATTTTAAACTTGCTGCCATTTCTCAATAATTTAGATATTTTATATTGCACAAGTGTCATCTAAACCTAGAGAACGAGGAATATAATGATGGAACGATCTTACTGCGGAGGACTGCATCAGACTTGAACAAATTTACTAAGATGGACCATTATTTTTTCATCAAACTTACGAAAGCGGAACGGTAAATCTTGACTAGGGTTACCACGTGATAATAAAGACTTTCGTTTGCTCCCATTATTGTATAATATGCACCCTAACAACATGTCATTTCGATATCACGTATTATTGGCGTTTCTCACAATAGAGATGTTTACTGACTTGCGATATTAGGCAATCTAACTTCGCCTGACATTTTTTTTTGGGGAACCCTGAAGCACAATATCTCTCCAAACATAATTGGGACACCCTTTGGAATGATAGTTGAAGAAACTTTTTATGGTCGCCACACACTTCACTTCAGGCAGCAGCGGTGGCCGCAGTAGTAGACTCTTCGGTCTCCTGATCAGTCGCCGTGCGCTGTGCGGGTTCGAGTCCCGTCCCAGGAGAAATTTTTCTCTTGGATATGGATGTTGTGATTGTCCGTAGGTGGTAGATGGTCTCTGACTGTCGAACGCGGAGGTACCACCCGGCGGTTCTCGTAGGCGGAGCCAGAATGTGTGCATGTTGCGTGCACACGTGTTCCCTCGCCAGAGTCCGTGTGGCGTCCCCCCCCTTTCCCATGTATCCCCCTATAGCCCCACGGTACCCAATGGGTGCTTAGGCCTTAGGCCTTCGTGGTAGTTGGAGTATAAAAAAAAGATTCACGCCCACTAAATTAAGTTAAGGCACAAATCGTAAAACACCTATGGGATCGTATGAAACAAACTCCAACACTATCATTCCATCCATCTGATGCAAGCCTAACAGGCTTGATGCCGAAACAAAATGAAGAAGCACCATAATCAATAAATGACACTTTTTTATCCTTAATTGGGTAGCCTTCATTTTGGATAAATTTACGAGTAAGTAACCTGTTAAAATATCTCTTTTAACAAGATGAACCTTGAGGCATCATGCCTTTACCCAACAACCTGCATTCGTTACCGAATTCCTTGGAATTTCCTCCTACTGATCTTTTGGGTGATCCACATAGTACAGTCGACGAACCAGATATCTTTACATATTTTGAAAATTTATAAAGATAAAATGTTAACATACACTGAAAAATATATACTTAATACTTTGTTGTTCATTCTGATACTCCATTCTCAATCACAAAACAACACTTCTCTCCAATAACCTCTTGAGCAAAAGAGACACAACAGTACACTCATGAATGAAAGAAATTAATGGTTAATAACCTCATGTAGATTGCCCAGTGCCTTGTACTGTGCAGTAGACTATAAGGAGCTAGATCCCTGGAAAAGGGGGAGGGGGGGCAGTGGTAGTAGCCACGTGTGTTACGGCGTCGAGCTGCTAGCACATCGCATCGGCTTGAAGGCTCGCGGGTTCGAAAACCAGACACGGTTATACTTCGAGCTATGGATCTTGTGTTTGTCTATAATATGTACGCACTAGATCGGAGCAAGAGCAAATAGATGTATCGAATTGGTAGAGCCAGTTTATTCAATAACCTGTTACCAGTATAGGATCATATGGAGTAGTGCGTGCTTGTACAACGGGGTTGTCAACCAATAGATTAAAAAAACTAAGAGAATGATATATTAAATGTTACAATCATTCAATTGGCAACTATCTATCAGAGAAGAGTTATGAAAATGTAGTAAAATGCACCCCTCGTCATGAATTATGATTGATTATTCGACCATCTACTACTGTATTATAAAAACTCTTTGTAATCAAAAATTATTTTCTACTTTTTAGTTCGATTAGCTATAAAAGTGTGTTTTCTAGTTTTTTTAAACTATTATTTATTTTTCATTTTTTAGTTCGATTTATCAATTACTTTTTTGTGGACGTGTGGTATTGAAATGTCTTACGAATCACTTAGTAGTTTAATCATGTCATTTAAAGCTTCACTGTTGCATGGGGTCTTCCTGTTAACTTAGAACAATAGGTCTATAACAGAGGTTTTATAAAAGAATGTATCAATCCTGGCTGTCCTAATAATAGAAAACTGTTATCAAATTATTGCATTGCCATCGGTCCTTGATACGTGTGCCAAGTTTCAAATTAATGAAACTTCTGGAAATTGGTAAAAATTACAGTCAAAGATTCCGTTACAAACATACGTACATACATACATACATACTTACACACATACATACATACAGGCCAAGTTTATAAAAACGTGTTAAAAAGGTCAAAGGTAGCCTAGTTGCCAGGCCTCGCCTCTCCACCACCACCACCACTACTACTACTAGCTACTACTACTACCTACTACTACTACTACTACAGGACAATTTTCATATTTGTCATCAAGTTTAAACTCAAGATTTCGATTTATAAACTTCATAATTATATGTATTCTTAGCTACCTCCAAACCGTCGTCCATAGATTTAATTATTGACCGTACTAATACCCAAATGTTAACAACTTAATAATCGATGGCATCCAAGCAAATTCTTTGAAACCATGGAGATGTAATATGCAAATTAATTTCTTGTATACCGTCTGCTAGCCTACAATCTGTGTTTTCCAAGTAAATATTTAAGAAGATATACACATAAATCTCTTTGTGGCTAAAGTTCTCAAATATTTATCTCCTGCTTAAGCTTTATTTACACATCGTTGTCGAAGACATTAATTTGGAACCGAAGCGGCAAAGCGTAGGCTCTTTTGATGTCAACATTACTAATTTTGGTATTAGCGAAACAAATTATGTTACTACGCTAATAAAAAAAGGTTGACCAATTGTATAAACATACGGATATTTCATCTGAAAGAAACCTGCCGGTGGTGCTGCTAGCATTTTTTCTTGAATTATTTAGACTGTGGATATTTCGGTAAACATATTTCTGGTCATGCTGGAATACCTGGAAAGTTTTATTGGAAAGATCATATTGAGCTGTAATACTTCATTCTAAGGATTCTCTAGATTTTTCATGTGCAACTGCGAATATTAACCTTAACTTTTGTAATAATGCTCATAACTCGACACCAATCAAAATAATACAAGGCCGTTGAATTCTACTTTGAAAACGGCCACCGTGGTGGCTGAAACGTTAATAAATTGTCGCGTCTACACCTGTTTCATTCGCCTGCAAGCAGAACGGAGAGATTATCGAAAAGCAGTGTCAGGAGAACATTTTGGAATAGAAGGGTAATATTTTGACGTACAGTGTATTTCAGTTATTTAGCAAATAATGCAGAACACTTCTTCAACCAACGTTGCAAGTAATTCAGCACACAGAGCGCTCATTGTTTCATCCGACCGTTCCGATCGTGATGGAAGAAGGTATTTTTCCGCAATTGAAGTACAACGTATACGATACTACACAGCATCGCAAGTCCCTGGAAAATACGCCGAATATTTGACGTTGAGAACTCGGCGTACACGGGATTGATCAAGCTCTCGCAGAATCCCTCATTTCTAATAAAGTGTATAAAGCTACAATGCTTTGTGGGTCGATGTCATGGTTGAAACTTTGTGTCATAGTTTCCGCATAATCCTAGTGATCCTTTCTATAATGATTGTTTCTTTGTTCATAACTACTTATTCTGGAGTGTACAGTACATTCAGAGCTATAGAGAGATCAACCAGTTATTACTGGCGTGACATGTACTCATTGAGATCTAAAAATCCAAAAAGTCAAGTTCAACGCTCGATCTCAAAATTTTTAAGCTTCCTAAATCCTGCGAAGCTTTCGAACTTGCCATGGAAGTAACATTAAGTCAAAGATTTCTCAGAATTACTTTAAGCAGCTTTTGATTCAGATGATACAGATACAGAATTTTGATATGTGGACGCCCGTTGCGTCAAAGACTTACAGATGATACAAGCCGATGGAAATTGCTGACATGATTTTGATAGACCGAGGTCTATACAGGTCAGCGTCAAATATGAATATCATTTGTCGTTGTCGAAGTTATTCACGATTATAAAGCTTTCATTTCCTATCGGTGTGGAAGCGAGAAACGAGCAACAGCGTATTTGGGGTAGCAAAGTTAGATTTTCAATAAATTGTCCAGAACACTGAATCAGGTTTTGGGAACGTTACCTACAAATTGGAATAATAATAAATCAAATAATTCGGAAATGACGTACTATCAACCTAGGTAGATATGTAAGTTCTGCAACAAAGTAAAATTCATCATAGATTATAAAACATTTTAGCTGACATTCATTCCATTTTGGCGGAATCTGTTAGGATTATATTTAAATAAACTCTTTAAATGATGATATCTAAATAAAACCCTTCATTATAGAATTCTCACGTTATTTCATAAAAGATCTAGCTCTACTTTTTAGGCTTCTGGGATGAGCAGAGTCGCGTTTTGGATGTGCAGGTCAATACGTGGAGCGGGATCCCGCGCGAATATGGGAGCCGTTTTTACGGGATTTCAATCACGATTCACGTGGCTGTCGCTGCCAATGCGGAAGTGAATTGTTTTTAGATTCGATTGGATTTAACCGGTTATTCCACGATGAACGGTTAACCGGTGATTTCTACAAAAATCACAATACATATGGTCGTCCTGGATAGCCCCTTCCTTGTTCTACAATTATCAATCGAGGATACCACCTACCATGACCATCTTTCTGAACTCCTTCCCTCTAGACAGACTTAACAGCATAACTGGTTAAATCTGTTTAGGTTAATCGGTGCAGGTTAAAGTTATTGAAAAAAATAACCGGTTTACCTATAACTGCTTTTTCATCAATAACCGACAATATCTAGTAAGTTGCTGGAATACATACATAACATAACAAGAAGCATGCGCGTTATGTGATGTGCGAACCCCTCATATCGTTGGGAGTTGCATTGCTGTGTCGTATTCTATATGCTGCGGCGAAGATATTTCTGCGGAGCTTCGGAGCCCTCACGAACTTCGTTCTCTCGAAGAAAAGACAAATTAAGTCATTATCTTCGTTGAGAAACATGATTGATCACGTTAGGTATGATTTATGTGTTATTGGTTACTATTGTCGGTGTGCCTTTAAAATTTCGATAGCTTCGATGCCTTCATGAAATATCATTTGTTAATTGTTACATAATCGGTGAGGATGAAGGCTTTTTTATAGGATGTTCTTACACAATTCGGGCAGTCGTCTAGTTATTTGCAAAATGTGTATGAATGTACAAATGACAATTTTGATGAGAATGTATTTTGTTTATCTGTCTTCCAGGTGACTGTTCTTTCGTTTCTTTCTTTTTCATATTCCTATACAGTGTGTTGCTACGATAGTCTGAACGGTCCTGCAACATGCTGAGATTGTGCAAAGCCATCATTACAATTTTAAGTTGGCGCTGCGGAAAGTCAGCAGAGCCTAGGACCGCCTGGGGTAGACATTTCCGTTCCTAAAAGATCGCCCAGCGTTCCAAAGCGACAAGCGAGCATGAGGTTATCTGTCGTTTTTTTTTAATTTACCAAACACGCCACCCTCGTTAGTTGTCCCGAAAACGCCAAAACTCATCCAGGGTTGTTGTCGAAACATATCGATTAATTGTTATGTATATGTATGTGTATTGTTTATGGATCTAAAATGCGAGAAATAGTAGTTCCGCATCTAAGATGTTGTTTCCTTGAGATAGAATAATATGAGACACAACACAACACCACGCATATGCAGCTTTTGTGGTCGAATATTGCATAACAATTTACCAGGGTATTGAGACAACAGTTCGTGCTGGGTTTTCGCACTTTAAAAGGACTTTTGACGTTTTCGGGACGATGGTCGTGGGTGACGAGATTGGTATATTAAAAAAACAAATAATGCCTACCCCAAGTGGTCCTAGGCTTTGCTAGTTCAACACGGTGTCATCTTGAAACTGCAATGATGGCTTCGCCCAATCTCAGCATGTTATAGGTTTATTCAAACTGTTGTAGTAACACAAAAGTTTTTTTCTCGATAACCCGTAGTGAATGTACCGGGGACTGATGGAATTTTCCTCTCTTCCCGAAGTTTTGACAATTCCAATTTACCGTGGGAGTGGTTAAACTCTTTGATAAACTTAGCTGCCTCCTTTGAATCTGAAATAAACAGACTGGTCGTTTTTTGTGCAATGTATATATCAATAAGATCTACTGTTTGATATTACATGTGCGGTTCCTATATCTACAAAGACCGCATAGTCTTCTCCTTCCTCATTAAAAGTCAGGTGAACTTGTTCCTCCATTTTCTTGATTTATTATTTGATAATTTAATTCACATAATTTTCGGCATTGCGAAGACAAATTTTCAGTTGAGATGTCTGTTTTTCTTAATGACATTGACATAGGACGTGTCACTCGCTAGTGCCTCACCTACCTTAGGTTAGGCGCTTAACCGGACCACGTGAGTTTTTTACATTCGGATGACCTCACATCCGTTTTCCCCTATTCGCGACAATTTGGGTATCAGTTCCCGGTACTACACAGTGCTACACCGTGGACTCACGAAAAAATCATTAGTGTAAATAGGAATGTGAAAAGGAAAAAACAAGTGTCATCTGGAAGACAGATAAACAAAATATGTATATCAGAATTGCGGTCATAAGAAAAAAAACATGATCATGATACTAGAATAGTGCCTTCAAATTACTCCTCAAATATTGCAAAATGTGCGGCAACGGTTTGAGCAAAATCTTTATTATTGCATGGAGAGTCATGGTGGCCATTTTCAACATGTACCTGCCTAACGGGTCAGTCTATTCTTCATTATTAAATAACTTTGCTGCCAAATGTATTGATCTCCACTAATGATGATGTATTAGTTTTATTTAAGCTTTAAATCAATAAATCCTAAAGACTACTGACCTGAAGTACATTAATTTTTTTTGCAAACTTGTGTCCTCCTCGAAAACAAAATCGACGGGTCTGAGCGTTTTTCCAAAAAAAAACTGAGCCGCCAGTAAATGCGTCGTTTTCGATGCGCCACCTTGTATATACATATACTCGTATATATACAGGGTGACTTTGAAGTTGAGTCATTAATTTTCAGATAATGATTGTAGAAGGAAGATAAACCAAAATATGTGTGTAAAAATAAAAAAAAAATTAAAAAAAAAAATTTACCTTGTTTTATAAAGTATCCTCCCGACAAGTATTTCAGTGCGGACCTGTATTTGATCGTGAGACCTTGGAGCACCGGCATGCCGTCACCTGATTCACGAGCCCGTTGTACTACATTAACAAAGGCACGAGGGGTTGGTTGCACTCGATTGGGAAACCGATCCGCATAAACATGTGTCATTTTTTATTTCGTTTGAGCCACGCAACAGACACCACTATTCACTCTCGTGTTACCGACTGACACTGACTGTATACAAATGAATAAAATAATTGTAAAAACATCGTTCCAAATTCTTTCGCTTTTTTCTTTCCGATGCGATGAACCGATAAGGCGGATTATATCCGTTGTCGCCAAACACGAGCACATAATATTATTATTGAGACAGGGCGGTACTCAAACTTCCAAAGGGCTATAACTTTGTTACTTTAATTTTACCAGAAAAATGGTAAAGGAAAAAACATTTCTTTTGATCAGATCTACTCACTGTTAAAACAAATGACTCAACTTCGAAGTCACCCTGTATATAACAACCACATTAACTTCGTTACTCTATTTTCTTGATTCAGTCATTCGTTGTACCAGTTTTGTGTTCATTTGCTTGAGTATACACATCGTTCTGTGTTTGTGAAGATGCCGCAGCATTCAGAATTGTTTTACAAGAAACTACGACAATGTGAATAAGAAAAAACCATGGAATACAAATGAGTTAAAGGAGGCAAGTTAATTTTTATAATTTTCTGAACCTAACCAAATTATAACGTTCATATGCTTGCTCAACAGCAGCATCCATTGTTACCGGATTTCGTATATAAACACATGATTAAAAAAACAATAATGTGATGATAAAGACAACGTTTTAATCTATTCTTCTTTCCTTTTAGATCAATTCATGCTTGATGGTAATTTTAATATTATTGATAAAGTAGTACCTTGTTATATTATGTACTTCATTGGAGCATCACTGTATTGATTACAGCGTTTGACTAAAACAGGCGAATGCAGTAACGAAGTTAATGTGGTTGTTACGGTGTTTGATTGAAATTGTTCAGTCATTATAGGGAATGACTGAAACGCTTAGTCAAATGTTGTAATCGTGTGTGTAATACCGTGTTTGCCGGCAATACGGGGACTGACTAGGCATTTCAGGGAATGACCGATTTCAGCGATTATGTATATATACGTATACGAGTATATCCGAAAATATCAGTTCACTAGAATAAAATAATGGTTTATGGTATACAGGGTTGGGAAACCTCGAAACTGGAGATATTACTGACCAAAATATGTGAATTGACCTAAGCATACCTTAGTCCAAAAGTTGATAGTTTGCGAGATACAGGGTGTGAAAGTTACAATTTTATTTTCTATTTTTCCTTATTGATTGAGAAGTATTTCAGATTTTGGCATAAAACTCGGTATGGGGAGGTTTTCTAGAATGAGAAACAAGAATCCGTTATTTTTTATGACCGAACTTCTAGAGGGCGCCACTTACAGCACTATTTCGATAAATAACTTGTCATAACTTTTTTGTGCTATCCTGTATACAACAACTGATCGAAAAATCTCATTTTCTCGTATTTCCACAACGAAAAAGGTTAACTTGTTGGAATTGTCTACAGCTAATAGTTTACGAGATATTGGTTTTTAAAGTTCCATTGCATTATTTGTATCATGATGATAAAACACTTTTATAACATAATAATCAAGTTGCTTTGGATAATATCATCCGCCATGTATTTTTTGCAGGTGGTATGGATGGAGCAGTTGCTCGTGAAAAATGGTATTTACTGTACATTTGGAAACTTGAAATTCTCGAGCTAAATTCCAACTCCAACTGTAGGATTTTCAAATACAGCATCTAAAACATTTTCTCCAACTTCAGCTGTACGTACAGTTCGGGGAGCTCCTCTGTGCCAGCCCATATTTTGAGCAAAACTACCTAAAATCCAAATGATTTTTACTACTCAAAATAAAGCTATAATCATTTGTTACCAGTTTCTCGTAACCGCTGATCGATTCTTTGGAAAGTCTTTGGTTTAGGCAGGTGTCTATTAGGGAATCTGTCAGCGTACGAGCCGCTTCCCACTTCAGTTGGCCCACTTTTTGTATTTGCACCAAAATATGCCTTTATAAACTAAACATGACGAAACTATTCAGTTCTAAAACAATTTATTTTCTCAAAAACATTTTAGATACACTCTAGTCGTAAAAAATACATATTTGTAATCACTTAGACCTATAACTAATAGAACATCTGAACAAATAAACAATGTGCGAATAAATGCGCGAGGTTAATAAAGCAACAATTGAAAGATTACCATTGGGTAACATCACCTTTATTTTTTATTACGGCTGAAATTCTATGGGGCATAGTGTTAACCAAGTTTTGACAAAAATTGGGTGTAAAACAATCCCATATTTCTTGAAGCTTTTGTCTCAGTTCGGTGATTGTACGAGCAGGATGTTGTCGTAGAACCTTTTTCATCTCGTGCCACAAAGTTTCAATAGGTGACAGATCTGGACTGCTAGTGTAATCCTTCCTTTCCGCAAAAAGTCCAGAAAAGACGGAATGCAATGAAGATTCCAACTTTTCTGCACAATCACAGAAAGGGGGTTACCATTAGCTTCCGGTAGCTCAGTCGGTGGCATGAAGACATCTACAGGCGTGTAGCTGTGTGTCGACCATGGCATGGCTAGAGGATAGAAGAACAAACAGAACACAAAAATTTAACAGATTTTATTTAACTAGAAAAGCACTTTCATTTCATTTGAAATTGAAATTTTAAAGAACAAAATGAAAGATTTAAATCTTTGGCGCTGTTACAAAACTATACACTTATCTTTCGCTAAGCTGGTCCATTTTGACTGGACTGAAGCGAGGATGGCCAGGTGCTTCAAGTGGAGGTCCCAGTTATGAGGGGTGACCTCACATTTAGTGGCTGCAAAACTAGTTGTAGGCGAAGGATGCAGTGAAGTTGAGCTTAAAAGTGATGGCGCTGCCAAGGCACATGCATGGGTGAAGTGATAGGCCAAGCAATGCAAAGTCAAAGACAAAGGCAAAAGTCAAAGACAAAGGCAAAGGGAAAGGGGATGGCCCTAATCTGAAAAAGAACCGTGTGCATTAGCAACGTGCCTCAATGGCCAATGCATTTCCAATCTCAGTCTGCCTCAAAAGAGAACCAACGATTTTCTAGGTTAGAATTACATTACATAGTTTGTTAAAATCAAACCGAAAATTGGAAATGCCTTTCATAAAATAAAATCATGAAATAGCAAAAAAGCGTAAAACAAGATGGTGGTCATCAAAAATTTCTCCACATGCTTCTGATATAAAAACACAAATATCGAATATTCATAATCAACGTACTCATAATTTCACTGAACTATGAATATATATACGCACGATGTGGATCGATTTCTACCCCGATTTGATTAAAGTTATGGCGAATGATCAAAGTAGTCGAAAATGACGTTCCATGGATATTTTAAAATCGTACAAGAAATAAACTTACATATCGATTATCTATAAACTACAGGCAGATCCAGCAATAAAACTGTATAGTATTATAAAACTCACCATTTTATCCTATTTGGACACACATTTTACAAAATGCTAGCACATGGTGCTATATGACCTCATGCTACAGAGAACAAAATTCTTAGCTCTTGTTAGATCGGCGGCTCAAGTGAAAAGGAAGCGCGAGGAAGATCACAGATCAGGAACTCCGCATCAAGCGCGCTCCAAGCGCAAAATGTTATCTACCAAGTAAAAAAGCTAGAGATGGGATTAATGAGTTGCGATTCTGAAATGAAAAGCGAGAAGTGATTTAATAAATACAATCGGACGGTGAAACCGTTACACTAGAAACCCATTTCAAAAGTGGTACATTATTTTCTTCCATCCATTTTATAGCCTGTTTTGAGGTATGGCACGCTGCACCATCTTGCTGAAACACAAAATCTTGGCCGGATGTCAAACATTCTTCTATCACTGGTAAAAGCGATTCTTCTAAAATTGCCAAATATTTGTTTGTATCCACATTTCCATCAATAAAATGAAGTTTTCCTACTCCTTTTAATGACATACTGCCCCAGACCATAATGGATGCTGGAAATTTCACTTTTCTCTTCAGACAGTCAACATGGAATGCTTCATTTTTTTGCGAATAACTCTACTGCGACTGTCACCAACACAAACTTCGAATCGGGCCTCATTACTCCATTGTATT